GCTCCCATTGACCCTAATAAAACCATCTCTATGAGAGGCAGTAGCTATGTTGATGGGAGAAGCTCTCCCACTGTTATAGTGTTGTCCACAATGTCACTTAGGTTGGTATAATTTACAGTGCTCAAGGGGTTAGCTTATTCAAACCCTAAATGACATAAATTATACAGACATAACATATAGTGTAGACAAGTCCTTAAACACACAGTGCTCCAGGCATGAGTTAGTACTGTAGCTATACAGCAAGACAAGGGCAACTAAAATGATTAGGGGTTTGGAGAAGGTCCCATTTGAAGAGAGGCTAAAGCAACTGGGACTTTTCAGTTTGGAAAAGAGGAGACTGAGGGGGGATATGATAGAAGTATATAAAATCATGAGTGGTATGAAGAGAGTGGATAAAGAAAACTTATTCATTAGTTCCCATAATATAAGGACTAGAGGACACCAAATGAAATTAATGGGTAGCAGGTTTAAAACTAATAAGCGAAAGTTCTTCTTCATACAGTGCATAGTCAACTTGTGGAACTCCTTGCCAGAGGAGGCTGTGAAGGCTAGAACTATAACAGAATTTAAAGAGAAGCTAGATAAAGTCATGGAGGTTGGGTCCATGGAGTGCTATTAGCCAGGGGGTAGAAATGGTGTCCCTGGCCTCTGTTTGTCAGAGGCTGGAGATGGATGGCACGAGACAAATCTCTTGATCATTGTCTTTGGTCCACCCCCTCCGGGGCACTTGGTGCTGGCCATTGTCGGCAGACAGGCTACTGGGCTAGATGGACCTTTGGTCTGGCCCAGTACGGTCATTCTTATGTTCTTATGTTAACAAGTGGACTCACAAATGGACAGATAGACAGACAGACAAACATTTCTAAAATATATAGTAAGATTTCATGCCACAAAGGTCCCTGGAGTAGCTAGTGCACATTAGAGACTCTGGCACTTGTATACCTTAATTTGTATTAATGCTAATGCTTGAATTAAGCTAAGGTGCACAAAGGCACCCAGTGCGAATTAAGCGTGTTAACTCATGGAGTTTGTGCAAAGAAAATAGTGCACTTAAAATTCACACCCTATTTTATTCTGGACTAACACCCCCATGAAGACAGGCCCAAATATTTGTGGTGAGTTTGACCTTCTATCTCTTTCTGTATGACAATGCTTCCTGGAAAGATGAAGAAAGCAACTCAGGCTAGACTTTGTTTTTTTTCTTGAAATCCCTGCCTCAAGTTTTAATAAAGAGATCTTTTGTTAATGATTGGGTTGGAGCAATTTTTTAAAATATTTTTTCCACCAAGTGATACGTTGGCAAGGACAAGATTTTCTTCTAGTATCCTTTTGTGCATTTGATTGTATTTGGTTTGTAAAACAGCTGCAATAGCTGCTTGGTCAAGTCACTATGCTCATATTTCAATATGATCACATTTTATTTCTATATACAGTGCTATTCACTGGGCTTTTGCTTCAGTAAAAAAAGCAGTGGAATGGGTAAGAAGAGTTGACAGACAATTTCCAGCCATCTGCCATCGACTTGAACTTGGGAAGGATTGGGACTCTGCCACAAAGAAGTTGTTGGGTATTGAGTTAATCAACACCAACTTTCCTCCAAATATTTAATCATAGGAGACTTACATAAGGTTAAGAAAAGCATTAACTGCTTTACTCATTTTGCAATTATTAGACAAATTATGGGATTTCACTGCATTAACAGAGGCAATTTTCATTTTATATTGTACCTGTATAACTACTGAGTAGTTTTAATATCCAGGAAATTAACCAAAATGTGGAAATGTGGGGTCTTGTTTTATAT